ATGAAATTGATGTAAACAGCACAGCCATGTGATACAATATTGTGCGTCACCAAAACTATTTTTTGCTTTTGTTTTTGCTGTGCTAGGGATGAAACCCAGCTGGGTCTCTCACACAGAGAAGGCCAGAGGTCTACCAGTGAGCTAAGCCCCTGGCCCTAAAGCTGTGCCGAAGACCATTTAGTGACAGAAACAAACACCCACACCCACACCCACACCCACACCCACTCTCTCTTCAGGATAATACATTAAGTGAAACCAGGGTGGGTAATTGCAACACTCAGGCTGAGGCAGGGTGACAGAGCGCTGGAGGCCAGCCTGAGGTACTTAGCAAGATCGTCCTTCTTCCCCAGAATAAAGCAAAAACAAACAAACAAAAGCGGCAAAAAGCAATAAACACAACTTTTAGGACGACAGAACTCGCTCTAAAGCCCCTAGCGCTAGGCGCTGATACACAGGCGCATCAACCCGTGCTTCCTGCTGGGGTGGGGTCTGAAATTGGTGGAGGGAAGTTATTTTCTTGCAGTGGGTTTGGGTTTTGTCCACGTCCGCGAGCCGGCGTTGCTTCCTGTAAATGTGAACCACCCACACCTGGCTGGTGGTTGGGGTCTGGGGCGGACCCCGGGGCTCCCTCGGGCCTGGGGCCGGGCGGCTCCTCCCCACTGGGCGGCCGAGAGAGGCGGGGCGGGCACGGAGTCCTAGCGCAGCCCGGCCCAGCCCAGTCCTCGCAGCCTCCCAGACCCAGGCGGATCGACGGTCCCCAACAGCGCAGGCAAGTCAGGGGGCTGCGGCCGGCGGAGGTGGGGGACCCGGGGCCGGCGGGGACTGGGAGCGGACTGGGGCGGCGCTGCGCCGGGCCGCTCAAACTTTTCTGGCACGCGCGCGGCCGGCCGGCCCGCTCCGGTGGTGAGCCGGGGCCAGAGTGGGGTTCTTTCGTCCTGTGGTTCCGAGTTTCGCTTTCCCTGGGCGCCCAGGCAGGGCATGTGGCGCAGCAGCGTGCGCTGCGCACCCGAGAGCTGGCCAGCATCTTGCAGGGGGCCCCTCTCAGTGGCCCAGAGGCCTGTCTGTCGCAGGGCGTGTCCCCCCCACTTCGGGGCCCCAGAGTGTCTGTGCCGCGAGTGAGATGGGGGCTATCATGGTCCTCAGCTGGGAAGAGGAAGGGAGGGAGCCAGCCCGGAGCCTGGTACCCACCTGGAGCTGCTCCTGTGTATCCTGGCGCCGCCAGGCTGGGCACAGACAGGTGACGAGGATCTAAATGGGGGGTGGGGGTGGGAGGAGGGAGCCCCTAGCACAGTGACTAGGGTGGAAACCAGTGGGCCAAGCCTTAGGTCTAGAGAAGAGCCCATTCCTACCCATAACCTGTTCTGCTCCCCAGCCCCTGCTCCCTTGTTCTGTGGTTCGGGAGCCACCCAGGAAGTACCTTCAAACTCATGAACTTTTTTTTTTTTTTTTTTCTGACGATTTCACTCAGTCCAGTGTAGCTTTGAACTTGCTGCAATACTTCTGCCTCAGAGTCTAAGTGCTGGAGTAGTACAAGTGACAGCTGTTGGGCCTGACGCTCATGACCTCTTTAGGTCTGAGTAAAAATAAAAACAAAATAGGGAAATGGGAAAAGGGAAAGCAGGTCATGGAGGACTGGGAATGAGCCAGAGCACGAGAGGGAAGGAAGGCTGGCTGCCAGCTAGAGCGTGGACTCTTCACCAGGACCTGCCCTTTGGGGGCTCCTTCCCTGCCACTCACTCCACTGTGGACTGTGCGTGGTATCCACGAGGCTTGGGGGTCAACCTGAGTACCCTCAACGCAGGAGAAGTGGGGAGAGCTGTCATGGAAGGTCCGTCCGGTGTCTGGTTCTCTGGGACTCTGAAATATTTATCTCAGTGCTGAGCTTTGGTTTCAGAGCTGGTGCCTTTGGCCTGGCCAGTGGTGGCAGGGCAAGGCAGGTGCTTCTTGGGGCCCCCACACTTCCTCTCCATTTCACTCACTTGTTCTCCTTACCTCTCCAGGCATGGGGACCTGGTCTTGGTTCATAGTTTCAAGGGAAGTGAGGCCAATGCTTCAAGGGCCCTGATTTCCTGTCTGACTTCAGGGCTGCTCTTGTAAAGCTGGGCAGATCAGAGGGGTAATGACAGGTTAGTTGGTGAGCACCAGGAGAAGCTCATGTCATCGGCTGGGTAATAGGCATTTGGACTCGGCCTCTTCCCTGAGAATGGGGGAGCCTCAGCTAGGGACCATCTACAGCACAGCACCTCTGACCCCAAGACCTCTCCTGGGAGAGGGGCTTAAAGAGTAGAAGCACCAGGAGTGAATGTGTGGTGTGCATGCCTCTCATACAGAGGCTGAGTGGTGGGTTCAAGACCAGCCTAAACTACAGGGGAAGGCCCTGCCTCACGAAACGAAACACTCACAGCACTGGGGCGTGGGACCTCGTTCTGCTTAGAAGACAGGAGGATTGCAAGCCAGGCTGCAGACTTGAGGCCAGCTTGGTTCCAGAATGAGACCTTGACTCAACAAGCCACAGTGAGGGGACAGGCATTGTCTTCAGAGTGCCTTCAGTTCTCTGGGGGAATGCTGAAGAAGAGCTGACCTTGACAGGGTCTTCCAGCCCTAGCCTGAGATTTGGGGACTTGTTTTGAAGTAGGAACAAGATGCAGAAGTCCACAGGTTTCTACTTGTCCTGGACTTAATGCATTGGTTAGGGAGGAAGGTAAGACTTTCTTATCTAGGGTGATTGGTGCCCTCCTATGACACAGGGTGATGTTTAGGGATGGTTCTGTGTTGGCTAGAGATTTCCTCCATGCCATGCAAAAAGTCCCACCATGGAGGTTCCAAGAGCAACTGGAACTAAGGGGAGGGGAGGGCCCTCCGGAGGGTCCTAGCACTCAGCTGATTCCCTAAGAACTGCTCCCCCTACCCACAGGTTCTTCCTGTGGCCCTAGTCTTGAACTTGGCATCTTCCTGCTTCCACCACCCCAGTGCTAGGATTACAGGTATACACCGCCATGCCCTGCTCTTGTGTGGTTCCTTTTAAAAATCCTATTTACCTGATGGTGTGTGAAAGTGAGTGCATGCCTGTGCAGGTCAGGTCAGAGGACAACTGGCGGGACTTGGTCCTCTCCTTTACCACGTGGGGTCTAGCGATCCCACACAAGTTGTCAGGCTTGGCGGCAGATGCCTTTACCTGGGGAGCCACCTAAACCTTCTGCCTCATTCTTAGGGCAGCTGTTCTCTGGAGCAGGCTGGTGGGAGCATAGAGCTTTGAGAGATGGGTAAGGGAGATGGGTTTTTCTTAGGGTTGGGTCCCTGTGTAATAAACAGGTGGAGTGGAGGGCCTTATGGAGACCTGAGGAGAGAGGGCGTGAATGGCCCCTTCTTGCTAGAACATGCCATGTGCCTCTGCCTCTGTATATGTCTTACCCATTACTGGAGGCACCCAGTATGTAGATTCCTGGGGCGGGGCTATGCCGTTCTGCTCTGAAACTTTCTGTTCTGTTAGCCTGTTTGTACAGAATCAGACTGGCAGGGCTGAAGTGGATTTTCACCTTTCAGCCCAGGATATACCCATCTAACAGATATAAAATCGAGTCTGGAAGTGGGGAGTGACCTACCCAATTCATGTACTGGAATCAGTGCCAACGGAAGGATAGGAATTAGGTCCCTGCTCCTACACTGGAGACTTGGCAAAGATGGGAAAGGAATCCATATCCACTGTGCACTCAGATTACCACCTCCCCCTCAGCCCTGGTCTGCCCCCACCAGTGAGGGTGCCTCAGGTGTCTCCCCCAGCAGTTGTAAAAGCACCCCAAATCAGACATCAAGTTTAAATCATCTCTGCTGTTTGCCTTCCTTGGGCCTTTAATTATTATTATTATTATTTTGTTTTTTCCAGACAGTTTCTCTATATAACAGCCCTGGCTGTCCAGGAACTCACTTTGTAGACCAGGCTGGACTTGAACTCACAGAGATCCGTCTGCCTCTGCCTCCCAAGTGCTGGGATTAAAAAACATGTACCACCACTGCCTGCCTGGCTGGGCCTTTAAATTCTAACGCCCTCCCCAACCCCACCCATTTCAACTTTTTTTTTTTTTTTTAAGATAGAGCCTTGATCTGTAGCCCTGGCTGGCCTGGTGCTCACTGGGTAGCGCAGGCTGACTTTGAACTTGAAGCAATCCTGCTTTAGCTTCCTGAATGCTGGCTTTACAGGTGTGTGCCACCATTCCCGGCTCTCAAAGTTAGCATTTTTTATTGGCAGAGTGATCTTTCGTGAGCATCAAAGGCGCCTTAGTTACATTTGGCTTAGTTGCTCTCTTAGGTGGCTCTCTTCCTTCCCACCCCTCTGATTCTCCACGGTGATCTGTTTAATAGTCCTGTTCTCCTGCTGACTCCTCTCCTAACCTGGGCACAGGAGAGGTAAACACAGATAGGGTAGGTAGGGCCTTCCGGTCAGAAATGGCAGCAGCCCTGTTAATGGCTTCCTCTTTTTGTTGTTGGTTTTTCCTCTAGAGAGACAGGGTCTCACAATATAGCCCTAGCTGTCCTGGAACTGCCCGGTAGACCAGGCTGGCCTTGAAATCACAGACTGTGCCTGGCCCTCTTTTTTTATATGCGTACCAGGCCACCCTGACTGGTGACGTAGCTGGGCTCTCTGAGATTACAACCCCATGACATAAGTCTGTCCTCGGAGATAAGGGTGACAGACAGGCTGCAGGACCGGGCCTTCCCATACTTCCCAGGACTCAGCCTTCTGTTTCTGTGGCTCCAGAGAGAGGGACTCTAGGGGTGGGTGGGACCTGCGGAGTGGCCTGGAACCTGGGAGGAAAGTAATGGGTGGGACAGTTGAACAGGACTGGGAACTGGGGGTGGGTGGCTTGTTCTGACACCTGTGCCTTTCCTGCTGAGTTCTCAGATACCGGGCCAGGCTGGGTTCTAAATTATTTAAAAAAAAAAATGTTTCCCCCCCTGAGATAGCAGCTCCCTATCATTTCCTGGCTGGCCTGGAACTTGCTATGTAGACCAGGCTGGCCTTGAACTCACAGAAATTGGCCTTGAACTCACAGAAATCAGCCTGCCTCTGCTAGAATTACAGGCAGGAAGCCCCATACGTGGCCAGGAGTTCCAAATTCTTGGCCAGGAGGGCCTGTCATGGGTGGGAGCTCTCAAGTTTCCTGGTCCCAGCTGACACTTCAATGTTTGGACCTCCTGTACTTCACCTCTTAATCTTTAGGCCAGGCCACCCTAAGAGTATGGAGTTGATTCTGGGTTCCCTTTTCCCAGAATCCAGCCTGGTGGCTGGCTTAGATGCTCTTGGTCGCTTCCTTTACCTCCGTGTCCTGGTGGCTCTGTGCTGGGGTGGGAGGTGTTTTCTTGAGAAGAATTAGAGGGAAGAAGCTAGGCATGGAGACCTGGGGGTGGAGGTGGGGCTTCCTGAGACGCTTGCTGAGCAATTCTTTCCATTCTGGTCTGGGCATGGGTTCCTGGCAGTCGGGAGGGCAAGCTGCCTGGACCAGTCAGCTGCTCTGTTCTGTCCTTCCCTCCAACACACACCCTGTTGCTGTAACCCCAGGAGCTCAGCCTTTTCTCTAGAGTCCAGAGTCTTAACATTTCATACGGCCCAGGAGAGTCAGAGCTAGAGTCTAATCTCACAGGCCAGGTACAAAGTTGGCCCCCCGATACAACCCAGGGGTCAGTGGGGAACAGCGTCCCCAGAGTCTACACTGAAAACCTTGGTCACCAACAAATCCTGCTGTTTGGGCCCAATACACACTCCTGCGGCCACCATGACTGAGTCAGGGAGAGGCTCTGGGACTGTCCTGGGATCGGATGGATTACCTGAGAGAGGTACAAGCTGAGACATGGAAGGCCAGGGTGGGACAAAGTCTGGTGTTTGCTCACAGAGAAGCTGGATGCCTCCCGACCTTAGGAGAATGCTCACAGTTCTCTGTAGCCCCGGGATGCCGTGAAGACCTCACAGGCACTGGATGAGCCCAGAAGACCCGAGTTCATAGGCCACATCTGTGCTCAGTCTCCTCCGCTCTTTTCTGTCCCTGTCTTTGGTTTTTCTCTAGTCCCCAGACCTCGACCTGGTTAGGAGAGTGGCTGGCCACTTCCCCTGGGGCGATGCTAGCCCAGACCACAGCCCTAGTGGAAGGCTTGGTGGTAGGATCCTCATGGAGGCCAGGCAGGCGCTGGGGCCCAAATAGACGCCAAGGCGGGGGTTCTGGGTTCCAGAGGTTCCTGCTGGTCTGACAGGTGTTGTCCTTGCCGTGAATGTGGCAGAGGTTGGCAAACTCCCCTGCACCCAGGGTCAGACAGCCAGGACTGCATTGTGGCCTAGGCTCAGCTTGTAAGTGGGTGGGGGTCCTCTAGATTCTGACATTTTGAGTCTCCTCCCTTGTGCTGATGAATGGGGCTGGAGCCCACCGTGGGGAGGCTGAAGGGTTGGTTGGGCATCCATTCCTCTGTAAGCCTGCTGTTGTCACTGCTGGAGGGAGGATTTGAGACCAGAGCTGTGGTAGATGGATGAGAGAGAGGTGGGAACAGACTACCCAAATGAGGGACTGAGACAGAAGGTCACCAGAGTTGGCCTTGGGGGCAAGCCTTGACTGCATCATACCCAGTGAGGTATCCTGGCCCACTCTGCACTCTCCTAAGCCTCCGAGTCTCTGTAATGATGATGCTCACCTGCTGGGCGACTGTACCGAGTTAGTGAAATCACAGTTAGGCTGGGCATTGTTCCAGAGCTCAGCATGTCCGCCTCTTTTCTTTTTACAGTTCCTGGGGAGGCACCATCACTGGTGCTGAACCCATTTTCCAGGGGAGGACACTGATACATAGCAACAGCTCTGGTTCAAAAGGGCAGGTGGCTAAGGATGCAGACAATTAATTATACCGGGATCAGGCAGGTCCACTGGTAAATTCCTCTGACCACAGCTTGGCAGGGCAGGGCCAGGGAGGGCAGGAGGATGGCCCATGAGTCAGCAGCTGAGCTACTCTAGACCCTGGAGCCCCAACCCAGGCAGTGAGTCACACTTCACCCCCAGATCACTGCAGCCCCTCACTCAGGAAGTGGGAGGGGCAGCTGTCTGCTCTTTCCCGGGGTCATAGACGGCTCCTAGAGCTGTCACTGAGCCCTGAGATCACTGAACCACCCATTTCAGTATGCCTTGTGAAGGGAGGGCCAGGTCATTGTGACATCATGGCGTGGTGGCACTGTTGGGATAGCAGGGCCTTTCCTGTCAGTGCCTCCTGGGGCTGTTTAGCCATCAGCCCGCACCACCCCGCCAATGGTGGGTGTCACATAGACCAGGGTCATTGAGATGAGGGCCGTAGTGAAATGACAGGTGTATCTCCACCAAAGGTAACCTGCTTCGACCTCTCCTGTCCACTGGGATGCCATCCTTTCTGTGCAGTCAGAAGGGGACCCTGGGAGGGGAGGGAGTAGCGTTTAGGGGAAGAAGCCTTTTGTACAGAGGGTGGAGCAGGAAAAACTGCTTCTTTTAGCTTGCTTGTGATTATTCTGTCCTTCCTTAGCCCCAGGCCTCTCCAAACCAGGTCCAATGGCTGGGTCTTGAACTCACTCTCCACTATTGGTACCCATCTTCCCAGGTGCCCTGCCCTGCTCACTGCCCGCCTCTCATGCCTGCCTGCCTGGCTCACTTCTCATACCCTCACTGTCAAGAAGGGCTTTCTTCTCTCTGGCTTGACACGTTCTTGCTCTGGGGCGATGAAGAACAGCTTTCTTCAGTGTGGCCAGCTCAGAGACCTGCCCTGTCACTCGATCCTGACCACTCTCCCTTGTGAATAAGTCCTGTTGTCCTGAGAGATGATGAGAGGGTCCTCTGTCTGATCTCTGAGCTGCACTGGGTGCCCTGAGAAGAGAAGCCTGAGAAGAGAAACTCTCGAGCTTCCAGCAGCAGCTCTGAGGGTGCCGCTGGCCTGGACTTGGGAGTCTTGTCTGTAAGGCAGGGGTCGCTCTCACGGGGTGTGCACAGGAAGGGGTGGTTCTCTGAGGGGAGTAAGCACAGCCCTTCCTTAGCTTGTCTGTGTCCTCGTCTCCACCATCTCAGAGGCCCCACAGGCTGTGAAGAACTTGGCAGAGGAGGCCTAGAGGGTACAGCCTGACGTGAAGGACATATACCAAGACCCCAAAGTGTGACTGTGACACACACATTCAGGGTGTGCTCCTAAGCTGTGCATCCGGGACTGTGGGAGCCACTTCACTGTTGGAGGCCTTCACGCTGGAAGTGAGCCCCGCACTTGGAGTGCCTCTCGGCCTGACTGGAGCTCCCACGAGCTGCAGGGCTCTCCTGTCAGAGGCACTCTGTGCTGTGCCTCCTCAGCTTGCTTTCCTTGACCTCGCCACCGCTGCAGGGAAGAGCCCAGAGACCCCCTTTCCAGGGAGTTCTGGGACCACATCTACTCCGAGGCCAGGCCAGTGAAGGGAGCAGCGGGCATAGGCTGCCACGGGCCTCTGGTGGGAACCCGAAAGTCCTGTCTCCTGCCTGCCCCGCCCCTCCCTCGGGGCAGTTCTGTGGTATAGTGGTGGGATTGTTTTCCTTCCTTCTTGCTCAGCTTCCAGCCTGGCTCCACCCTGTGTCTGGCTCGCAAGCTTGCTGCTCCAGCCAGCTGCTCTGGGGGCTGGGCTGACCCTTCCAGAGGGTCCCAGCTGGCCAGCCCTGTGACTCACCAGGAAGCTCTGCCAGGGGCCATTCAGCTTCTTCCCTGGTTCTGCTGTCCAGCCACCACGGCAAGGTCTACTTAAGGGAGAACGGGGAGTTCCCCGGGCTGCCGTTCTGGTCTGTTCTGTTGCTCAGCAGTGACTACTCCCGACTCCTACTCTGCTGTGGCCAGGGAGCGGGACTGGAAGGGAAGGCCTCAGATAAAGAATGCTGCGAGACAGCCTAAAAGCCAGGGGCTGGCCCGGTGGGTGGCGGCCTGTGGGCAGTGAGTGGCATGTGTGATCTAGAGACACAGCCTGTAAGGGGCAAGGGTGGAGTGAGCGGCCAAGAACTCATGACCGCTTGCTTGTTTCCTATTGCAGGTCCCAGCAGCTGGGGTTTCCTCTCAGCCCTTGAGTGGCTATGTCCAATCCCACTGCCCCACCTCCCTATGAGGACCGAAACCCCCTGTACCCTGGCCCTCCACCTCCTGGGGGCTACGGGCAGCCATCTGTCCTGCCAGGTGGATACCCGGCCTACCCTGCCTACCCCCAACCTGGTTACGGTCACCCTGCTGGCTACCCACAGCCGATGCCGCCCATCCATCCAATGCCCATGAGCTACGGTGAGTCCTGGAGGGTGGCTGGGGGTGGCTGGGACAAGGTAGATAGACTTGGGGCCCAAGGAAGCCTTGCATTTCCTTCCTCCTGCTATCTCCTTTTCCTCTTCCTGTCCCACCTTCCGCTTAGCCTCTTGTTCCTCCCCCTAGCCCCTTGCTAACCTATGTATTCAGTATGGAGACTGAGGCCATAAGACATATACCAGAACTTACACCCGGAGAAGGTAGCCGGGTGAGTTAATGGCTTCTAAGTGGTTGTCTAAGGAACCATTTCTGTTTCTGACAAGGCTGTTGCCACTGTGTGTGGGCACCATGTGTTCCTTAGGAACCCTAAGCACTTTTTTTTTTTTTTTAATATCCTAGGGCTGACACATCTCCATCCTTTATTTACAGTCTGATTTTTGCCAACAGTCAAAATGTCATGGTTTGTCAGTGAAGGTGAGGTTAGACTATATAGTAAGCCTCCTTTCCGGGGGGTGGATTTTGCATTTCTTTTTGGTATGGGAGACTGAACTCAAGTCATTACATGCTAAGCGTGTGCTCTGCCTATGAGCTATACCCCAACTCCTTCTGGGTAGATTTTGGAAGCAGTTCTCAAAGAGGCATCCATGGAATGTTGGTGGCTTGCAGCAGTCTGTGTTCCAGAGCCAGTAAGTGTGTGGCCAGCTCCTATCTGGACACGTGTTCTGAGGCAGATCTTAAGATATCACTCACAGGTGACAGTTCCATGTGCATTGTGAAGCCCGCTAGAGACCACAGACCGTGCCCTCCTGTACCCACTGTCTGGGCACGTCTCCCCTCCTTTTCTCTGGCCCTCTGTCCCCAAGGCTACTGCTCTGCCAGCTAGTTCTACTCCCTAGATGCCAGCTGCTTCCCTAGACGGTGATGCCACTGTCGTGCCCCCAATGATGGGGGCTGGGCAGAGCCACAGCAGATGCCTGCTGACAGGACAGCTCTTTCTTACCTAAGCCCGCTGGGGTCACTCTGAGGGTGCCCAGAGAAAGAACTCTAGCTTGATAAAGGAGAATGTGAACGAGAAATGTGTCTTCTGGACAGAGGTATCTAAACCTTTGAGACAGGGTCGGGGTTCTTTGAGGTGGAGGCTACCTGTCCTAGGTCCCCAGTTTGTTTGATGTGATCTGTCTGGTCCCAGGCCATGACTATGGTGGGGAGGAGAGAGCAGCGAGTGACAACTTTGGTCCTGGAGAATGGGATGACCGGAAAGTCCGCCATGCCTTCATCCGAAAGGTGAGATATGGGCTGGGACTTGGGGGAGGCCTAGGCACGGTACATATTCCCATGTAAATGCCTTAGTTGCCCACCTCCTTGTAGTTCTGTACCTCTGATCCTCAGAGGGACCCCCCTCTTTATGATCCCCTTTGCCTTGACTTTGGGGACGATAGAGTCAACCTGGGAAAGTCTACTTGGCTTCTGCTCTTCCCCTCCTGCCCACCGTTCTGTTAGACGGCAAGCAGCTGGGAGCTGAAGTGAACATGCTGCGTCTAAGCCACCTCACATCCCTTTTCTCAGCCCTTGTCACAGAGAACTGCTCTCAGGGCAGTGAGAGAGCAGTAAACTAAACTGACACAAGCTGGATGCTGGATAGGAAGAGAGGGGCCAAGAAACAGCTGGAGGGAGCAGTGGAGTCATTTCTAGGCCAGTCTGTAGTCAGGCAAGAATCTTTGAGGGCTCAAAAAGTAGTCTTCCAAAATTACAGTCATTCTTTATCTTTATTTTTTAATTTTGTGTGTGTGTGTGTGTGTGTGTATGTGCATGTCAGTGCAGTATCTGTGTGTGTGTGTGTGCATGTGAGTGCAGTATCTGTGTGTGTGTGTGTGTGTGCATGTGAGTGCAGTATCTGTATGTGTGTGCATGTGAGTGCAGTATCTGTGTGTGTGTGTGTGTGTGCATGTGAGTGCAGTATCTGTGTCTGTATGTGTGTGTGCGTGTGCATGTGAGTGCAGTATCTGTGTGTGTGTGTGTGCATGTGAGTGCAGTATCTGTGTCTGTATGTGTGTGTGCGTGTGCATGTGAGTGCAGTATCTGTGTGTGTGTGTGTGTGTGTGTGTGTGTGTAGTATCTGTGTATGTATGTGCATGTGAGTGCAGTATCTGTGTCTGTGTGTGTGTGTGTGTGCATGTGAGTGCAGTATCTGTGTCTGTATGTGTGTGTGCGTGTGCATGTGAGTGCAGTATCTGTGTGTGTGTGTGTGTGTGTGTGTGTGTGTGTGTGTGTGCAGTATCTGTGTATGTATGTGCATGTGAGTGCAGTATCTGTGTGTGTGTGTGTGTGTGTGTGTGTGTGTGTGTGTGTGTGTGTGCGCGCGTGCGCACGCGCGCAGTATCCAGGGAGTCCAGAAGAGGGCATCAGATCCTCTGGAGCTAGAGTTACAGGTAGTTGTGAGCTGCCTGATGTGGTTGCTGGGAACTGAACTCAGGTCCATGAGCAATATATGCTCTTAACCACTGAGCCCTCTCCCCAGCCAGAGCCTTCCAAACTAAAAAGAGACCCCTTGTACCACTAACAAGACAAGATGGGGGCGGGGTTGGTGGGTAGGGGCAGGGGCCTTGGTACTGACCATCCTCCAGGGAGAGGCTAGTATGAGATGTGAGCTGTATCCTTGGCTGTCTGTTCTAGGTCTATTCCATCATTTCCGTCCAGCTGTTCATCACTGTGGCCATCATTGCGATCTTCACCTTTGTGTGAGTCTCTCCTTTTCCCAGCCTGGGTTACCTGCCGGGCTGTCCATGGAGGGGTGGCTCTCAGCTGGAGGCAGACAAACCATGGTCTGACCCCTCTCTTGGCATCTTCTGTTTCCCAGGGAACCAGTTGGTGAGTTCGTGAGGAAGAATGTGGCTGTGTACTACGTATCCTAGTGAGTGCATGGTGTTGCTGCTGGGTGGGAGGGCGGGGCCGGAGACAGCTGAGCGGCTTCGTTCAGGGCAGGGGTTAATATGCCCTAGGAGAGAGGCCTTCTAAGAGGCTGGTGCCAGTCTCCAGGTGGCAGGGGCAGGGGGGGTAACATCACAGAATGCTAGAACAGGACCAGATAGGCAGAGTGTGGATTTCATGGTCCTGTCCAGTGTCTGTGATTACCCTACACTTCCTTCTGGTTCAAACCCTGTTCCAGGCTTCTCAGTGCCCTGGATGAGAGAATCTTGCCCTTGCTTGCTACAAAGAGTAGCGTGTCAGGAAGCCTGGGCTGCTGAGTGCTGCCCATAGGGAGTTAGAAGCAGGCCCAGGGCGGTCTGGTCCACAGCTGTGTCCCCTCTCTCCCCCAGTGCTGTCTTCCTCGTCACCTACCTGACCCTTGCCTGCTGCCAGGGACCCAGGTGAGTGCTGGAGACCCAGACAGGAGGAGGGCGGAATCGGGCCCGGGACAAAGTGTTTCGAGAGGAAAAGGGGGGTCTGTACAGTGGAGAGAGACTCCTGAGGGGTATGTGTGAGGAAGACGTGGTCATCGGTTACAGAGTAGTGAGTGACACCTACCTCGCTAGCCATCATCCTTACGAGATATGTAAGAATCACACATACAAGATATACAGCCCTTTGAGCATGGAACAAACGAGAAAGACTAACAGCAAGGAGGCAGCGAGACGGATCAACAGGTACAGGCACTGTCCGCCATGCCTGATGATCAGAGTTGGAGGCCCAAGACCCACATGCTGGAAGGAAAGACCCGATTCCCACAAGCTGTCCTCTGACCTCCACACGTGTCCTGTGGTGCATGTGTACACACGCACAAGTAATAGAAAGTAACGAATCCCTGTCAGGAGGAACTCAAGGTTCAAAGAGGCTGAGGAACTTTGTCACAGTCACACACACAGGCCATGTGATTGCTCTAACAAGTCCAGGCTTTGCTGGTTCCACAGGCAGGTCCATCCCAGGTTAGTTATCCTTGTGTAAACACTTGAGCACCCTCCCTAAGGGAAAGGCCTATTCCTCAGGAACTTCCTTCTGCTGAAGGAACGGCTAAGATTGATGGGCCCACGGCAGGTTAACCAGGGTCTCTTTCTCTTTGTCTTCAGACGCCGGTTCCCATGGAACATCATCCTGCTGACTCTCTTTGTAAGTCTAGAAGGGGAAGGAGGCCTCTCCCAGAGAAGAGTGGGGGACACCTTGTGGAAAGATGTCCCCGGCTACCTCCTCACCTTACCTGGCCCTGTTCTTGCTTTTCTTTGTGGCTGTTCTTCCCAGTACAGTTACATCTGTCCCCAGCTCTGGCAGGGCCACGGTGGGGCTGGAACTCAGAGCCTGACACTGGCTGTTCTTAACCGTTGGCTTGTTTCTCTCCTTCCCTCAGACTCTGGCTCTGGGCTTTATGACAGGCACCATTTCCAGGTATGTTCAGGGACACTCCTCCATACTCTTGGGAATGTTGTGAAGGGTTGGATGGACTGTGAGCGCAATCCTGGCCATAGAACTCTACCTTTATGGCTTGATTCTGTCCCTCTCCCCAGTATGTACCAAACCAAAGCCGTCATCATAGCAATGATCATCACTGCTGTGGTATCTGTTTCTGTCACCATCTTCTGCTTTCAGACTAAGGTGAGGAGGGGGAAGGCCCTTCCCCCGTGGCCACCCTGCCCTTTTGCACATACACACCTCTGGGTTTGGCACTTGGGCAGGCCCGGGGGGGCGGGGCGGGCAGGGGGCGGAACCTTGTAGCCCAGGGATTTCCCTAGCCTAATGTCTTGCTTTCGTGTCTGTACCCGGCAAGCTGCTTCCTGTCTGTGTCCTTAGCATGGCCCTGGGAGCCGCATTGACTGGGTGCCGAGGATGGCAGTCACCTGACCAGTGCCTCCTCCTCCCTTTCTGCTAGGTGGACTTCACCTCGTGCACAGGCCTCTTCTGTGTCCTGGGGATCGTGCTGATGGTGACTGGGATTGTCACTACCATTGTGCTGGCATTCCGATACGTGAGTGTCCTGCCAGCCACAAGGGACTTCCTGTAGAGCAGGGGTGGGCTCTGGCTCCCACACCCTCCATTGGCCAATGCCGGCACCAACACAACACCACCCAAAAGGGTTAGGGTATCACCGGTATTTCCCTCGGGCAGATGGTAAGCCACAGCCCCGTGGGCCCTGGGTAGCACCGCTGAATTCCTACAGGAAGGGGTAGGTTAGCTGAGACCGGGTCCTGCGAGGCAGAGCTAAAGGACCAAGTCAGCCCTGGATGTGAGGGGCTCTGGGATCACTGGTCTGATGCCTTCCCTGCTTCCAGTCAGCCGAGGGGAGGGCACAGGACTGAGGGGGGAGGCAGGGTAAGAGGTACTGCTGTCTGCCCCGCCATAGCTGGTCCTGGCCTGTGCACAGGCACTTGGCTGCGGTGTTGAGCAGGGTGGCAGGCGGCTCAAGGCTGCCGAGGGGCCTCTCTAAGCTGTCCCTAAGGTGGGTCGCTGGGCCTGCCCGCCCTGAGCTCACTCTGCTCGGCTGCCTTGTTTTCAGGACCCCTAACAGACACTCCTGTACTTTGACGAGCTTTCAGTTCGGCTGAGAGGCGCTGTGACTGGTTTTATATGGACACTGTGGCACGGTCTCTGCTCTCTCTGGCAAATAAGTCACGTTATCAGTTTCTCCCAGGATCTAGAGGCAGGCTGGGGGACCCTGGAGGGGTAGCTTCCTTGATTTCCCTGCTCTGCTTGTGGAGTCCCCGGGTCAGCGGGGGTCCTGAGGGTCTGCCTCCCTCCTGCTTGGCTTCCTAACGCTTTGCTGTGCTACTCCACAGATTTACTGGCTCCACATGGTCTACGCTGCTCTGGGGGCCATCTGCTTCACCCTGGTAAGTCTGCTTCTTGTTCTGGGACAGGGAGCTGAGAGGGTAGGGATGGAATTTAGGCAGCTTGGGAAGTGGCAGCGGCGGCGGGGGTGGGGTGGGGAGGGGCATGGACAATTGTTCTCTTTCTTATTTAGAGACTCTAGAAGTTTCTGGCATCCCTGTTGTCTTTTGTTCACACTCCCTGCTGTGTGACAATGGTGTGTCAGCCTTCTCTGGTAGAGGAGTGAACTGCTCAAGGGCAGAGACCATGTATCACACTACTCCTTAGCGCTTCCATTAGCAAGCAGCATGGATAGCCCAGCTCTCAGAACATCCTGCTGATCAGGGATGAACTCTGGACACTCAGCTCCTGGGCACTCATGTCTGATTTCCCTGCAGTTCCTGGCTTATGACACACAACTGGTCCTGGGGAACAGGAAGCACACCATCAGCCCGGAGGACTACATCACAGGGGCCCTGCAGATCTACACTGACATAGTCTACATCTTCACCTTTGTGCTACAGCTGATGGGGAGTCGAGACTGAGAGCTGCCCCTCCACTGGCCTGGGGCTCCTCACCCTTTTCTGTCGGGCTGGGCCCCAGGTCCCTTCTCCCCTCAAGTAATCTGCCCAGTTTCCTCTCCGTCCTGGGGATGGGAGGGCCTCTGGCTGTGTTATGTGAGAACCAAGGGTGCTGGAGTTACCCACAACTCTGGCCCTGGGTGGGCTTGGTAAGGACTAGATGCACCAAACTTCAGTGTGTGGTGGGGGGAGTGGGGAGCCTGTGAACACAGGAGCTTCAAGGTGAAGAGGCTCCCGTCCCACCTCGGCCGCAGGGCTCTAGGCTAGGTAGCTGGAGCTGTCCCCCTCCTGGATCCAATAAAGCCCGATGCTTTGCCCCCAGCTCCAGGACTCGGAGGCCACTTACCCTGTCTGAACTCTTTAGGCTTAGCATCTCTGAGAGATCTGTGCCCCGAGGTCTCCCTGTTACAACCCCATCCTCCAGTAACATGTATAGATTATTTATCGGGGTTAGGGGGAGACAGTGAGCAAAGTTCATTCAGTATGGGGGGGCTAAGAATGGGATCCACCCTGGATGGCACCCATTCTGCCTACCATCCAGGCCCAGAGTGCCCAGGGCCTTCTAAAGAGGGCCCTCCTACTTTCTTTGCTTAGACACTCAGGAGAAGGTGAGAGGCGGAGGTCGGCAGGGGAGGTGGTTTATAGGATCCTGAGTGTGGCTGGGAAGGAGTCTAGGGGAAGAGATGGGTGGGGACAGGGCAGGTGCCTTGGGTTCCCCCTCTGGTCTGAGAAACACTGCAGCCCACTCTGGTACCTGGAGACCTTCCCTTCTAACAAGTTCAGTCCGTTCTGAACTCCTGCTGGGAGATTTTAGACTAGAACTCCCTCTCCGAACCAGCTACCGCTTTCTGTATAATCCAAGCACCTCCAGCTGGTACCAGGGTGGAGACAGAAGCCAGTTGATCAAGTGGGGTGGGAAACCTTAGCAGCCCAAGGACATAATTAGAGCTAGTCTGTCCAATACTTGATTCTGAATAGATCACAAAGGGACACAACTAGAAATGTAATAAAGTTTGATGTTTGGCATTGCGACCCAGAGTAGCTGTGGCTTTCTTAACTCTAAAGTGGTGGTTTGGGCCAAAGTGTCCGCTTCCTTTGCACCTCAGGCCGAGTCTCCAGCCCGTTCTAAGTGGAACCGAGCAAATTTTCTTGGGACACTTCTTGGTGATGGGCGAGACAGCCTGCTGAAATGTCAAACGTTGGCTGGGGAAAGGGGCTCAAATCTGCACTTCTGTGTCATGAACCCTCTGTAAAGCTCCCTAGCTTTAACTCCCCATGATGCTGTGTCTTTGCATAACCTTTTTTTTTTTTTTTTTCAGGCAGGAAAGGGGCTAGACCATGGGTTTAGAATTTCTCTTGCAAACTAGTTTTCTCTTACAAATGAGGAAAATGAGACCCAGAGAGGCTGACATATTTGGATGCTTCCCCCTCCCCCATCCACATTTTGAATGCTGCCTTTGATTGTTTTTTTTTTTCTGTTTGTTTGTTTTGAGACAAGGTCTCTTTATTATGTTGCCCTGGCTGTATTGGGAACTATGCAGACCACCCTGACTTCAAACTCAGAGATCCACCTGCCTCTGCTTTCTGAGTGGTGAGATTAAAGCTGCCCGTGCCTGACTGATTCTAACTAGTTTAAGGCTACATGGGAACCTGCCTTTCTGACTAAGGCTTGGGTCTCCAGGGCTATTCCCAGGCTTGTTGCGCTCAAGTCTGTGGTTACTTCACTACCCAGCTGGGAACACAGGTCTTCTGTGAGGGAACAGGGATGAGCAGCCAGCCCCACTCTGCCCCTCCCCTCCCTGAGGCTTACAAAGTCAGCCCTGCTTCCTGTCCATGCCAGTATTTAATAACTTTATTTGCTTTTGGCTGGTTCCTCTGTTGAAGAGGTGGGTGCTGGCCGCAGCTGGAGCATCATGCGCCCTCTGGTGGGCTTCAAGGAAATGACCACAATTAGCCACACAGGACTCCAGTCAATGGTCTAGTACAAGGTTGCAGTGATCCTCACTCAGTTCTGTACCCCAGACCCAGCTTCAGGGAACTGGGCTTGCTGGGAGGGAGCCCTGAACCTCTGGCTCTCATACTCGCCCGTGTTGGCCACCCGCATGTTCTGCCGAGCCTTCATCTGCTTCAAACGGTCCTTGTCCACTTCCTGCTTGGTGAGGACGAAGAAGAGGATACCGCAGGGGAAGCCGATGGCCCTAGGGATGGGGAGATGTGCACCGGGTTTGGGCAGGGACTGGGACTGAGCCAGAGGAGCTGGAAGAATCAGTCCAGCTTTGCCAAATGGATAAATGCTGTGGTGGTGATACTTGTGTCTACCTGTCCTTTGTGCTGACTGCTGGAGGGAACCCACAAATCTGATCCTGCTACTGCCTGCTTAAGACACTGTAATAGCTCTCATTATATCCTGGCTAACTCCAGACTCCTAGGCATGGCACTGGAGGCCCCGTGTGGTCCTCCCTACCTTTTTATGGCTGATATTCGTGGGCCTCTGTACTCCTGCTGAATGCTCATGTGTGACAGTGTAAGTAGCCCTCTGTGAGCTAGGAAAGGTCCTCTCTGCCTAAACTGTCTCCCATCCCTTCCCAGACCCCTCTTTTTTTCTTTTTGGTGCTGCAGATTGAATTTAGGGCTTCAAGAATGTTAAGCATGGGCTTGACCACTAAGGTATATCATCAGCCAACAGTCTTAATCTGAGCAACCAGTACTCAAAGGGGGTCTTGGTAGGGGCCAAAGAGCATGAAGTCATGACCTGGTGAGAATCCCAGCCGGGAGCCTCAGCTCCCTCCTTGGTGAGACAGAAGTACATTTACCTCAGAAAGCTTAAAACATTGTACGACGACGTACTGTCATACATCAGGCACTTGCTGGGAAAAAAAATGTTAATTTCCCTTCCTTTTCCTTTAATGTTGGCCAATGAATGATATGGATTAAAGCCAGAATCAGAAACAAACTCACAGAACCATTTCTAGCTTCTACACAACATATTCTAACACAATTTTAATTAATTGCATGGTCTAGCCCCTTTCCCCAGCTCCCAAGAGGATGAAACCAGTAACCCAAGTCCGAATCAGATCAGCCCAACTCGCTCCACAGAAAAGCCACCGTCTCCCCAACGTTACATATTGTCCCCCCTCCCAAGGCCCGCCTCACTCCGAGATTCCTTCCATCCCTTGAAGCCCGCCCGCAATTCTCTTCCCTTGGATGCAGCTCACCATCTGCAACTTAAGTTTCTAGGTCCTGACATCCCTTCGGTGCAGCGGTAGGCAAAGGGGCAGTTAAAACTCACCAGGCTAGTCCCACAGCTTTCATGGGGTTCTTGCCCCTCTTTCTGGGAATGTATTCCAGCTCAGGAGAGAGGGGCTCAGGCTCCTCCTTGCACTCCGGGGAGCTGTGGCTCTGCAGTGCTCTGGTCCTGTTCTGGGAAGCCTTGTTAGCTGTGGCTCCAGAGAGAATCCCTGTGAATACAAGAACCGCAGGTCAGGATAGGAGATGAGGGAGGGGAGTGTCTGCAGCTTGGAGTAACAAGTGCTGCGAAGACTCCAAAGAGAAATGGGAAAATCGCCATCGAGGTGACACCTTTGGAAGCTACTTCCACGTCACTGCGGGCTCCTCAGCCTGGTGCCAGGACAGCGAGCTTCGCTGCTGTTCTTTCTATTCAGAAGACAGGTTGAGAAGGACTGCAGAGGGAGTCACCGGAGACATACGTATGAAGGAAATCCGGGGAACTGTTTTAAAACTGCGGGACCTTAGCTATCCGTAAGGTTAGCCAACTCCATCCCCTCGTACTATAGAAGAAGAAACCGAAGCCCCGAGAGACGAGCTGCTTCGCACAAGGTCAAACTGCTAATTACCCAGAGCTAGAACTCAAGCCTCCAGCAGCCCAGGCTCTTCCCTCTGCACTGCGGTGAGTGTGAAACCCCTGGAACGCGGGAGAATAAGGGCTTCTTTGGGACTCCCTCTAGCAGCAAGACCCTAGACATGCTGTGTAACCTGAACGCAGGGGTTAGATTGGGTGACCTCTAGAGCATCTTTCACCCCCAGACTCTCTAAGATCCTGCAGAGAGGTGTGGGCAGCAATTAGCAGCCTGACTTCCTGCTGTCGTGCCGAGTGGGATGTGAAGGGAATGGGATCTTTTAGAGCTCTGCCCTCCCGGGGGTCCCTCTCCTTACCCCGGAGGACGCGGGCATTTCTTGCCCCCCGGCCCTTCAGCGCCGTTGCAGCTACCACCGCCGCCATGTTCAGGTCCCACCCCCCTTCACTGCGCTCCCCGCCGGGAATTGTAGTTTGCGTAAGGGGCCTCCCCCGCGCCTTCCGTCCTGCCTACAGATCAGAAACTACATTTCCCAGAAGTCCGCGCAGAGGGCCCGGGAGAACTACTCCTCCCAGGAGACCCCGGAGGCGCGCACGCTCGCTTGTTTCCCTCCAGCTGGGGGCGGAGTCATGTCGGGCGGAGCTTGGGCTCTCCCGCCACGCCCCGGCCTGGTCATCCCAGTTCTGCCTTGTGATTGGCGGCCCTGTCGGTCCACCTCCGTCGCGATTGGTCCGGATTCCGTCGCTCTTTCGGCCGGGAGTCACCTACGCCTACTTCCTCCCGGGAGGAGGGGCTCGAGTTCCGCGTCGTCGCGCAGAGCTGACTCTGGGAGGCGTTTGGGCCCAGAGAAGTGGATCGGTAGGTTTCGCCGCATGGAGTCGGAATCGGAGAGCGGAGCGGCCGCTGACACCCCGCCGCTGGAGACTCTCAGCTTCCACGGAGATGAAGAGATCATTGAAGTGGTAGAGCTGGATCCAGGCCCGCCCGACCCGGGTGAGAACTGTCGCTCCTGAGGCCATGGGACAGGAGGCGCTCACCCCTGGCCTCTGACCCCTGCTTCTCCCCCCCCCTCCCCCCTTCCCTACCGGTCGTTCCTACCGACATTTCCCTCCCGTCCCTCCTTCCCTACCCCCCACACTTAGTTTCGAGGCCTGGCTGGGTGGGGGTTCCCTGACGCCTCCCCTGGCCCTTCCCCTCACACACCCCCTTCCCATCATGCCCTCTGTCCTCGCTTCCCACACGGTCGCTGGCCAACGCCAGGTCTTCAGACCTAGCCTCTTTCCCCTTCCCCGCCCCCCAGGCGCTCTCCTCCTGCTCGGTACGTGTGGGACGACACCTGAACCTCCGGCCACATGACCCACCCTAGCTAGCGTGGCCCGATTCACTCCTCTTCACCCCTCACCCCATTCCTCTTCTGTCTTTCGAGATCCATCTTTTCACCCTTTCCCCAAAGCAGATGATCTGGCCCAGGAGATGGAAGACGTGGACTTTGAGGAAGAGGAGGAAGAGGAAGACGGCAATGACGAGGGCTGGGTCCTGGAACCCCAGGAAGGGGTGGTCGGCAGCATGGAGGGCCCGGATGATAGCGAGGTCACCTTTGCATTGCACTCAGGTAGGCCTTTGAGGGGATCACCTCAGGTCAGAGCCGATGGACTTTTAAGTATGACCCGTTGGCCTGGGGAAGGATATTATGAGAGACAAATAGGAAAGCCTACAGGAAATCCACAGGAAGGGCCAAAGGGATTAGGCTTGGCAGTGGGGTCAAGTGAGGCACCTAGGTTCAAATCCTACCTCTGCCGTTTAACAGTTTATCACCTTTGTTAGCTTTCTGGATCTTGGTATTCTTTTTAAAAAAGTCATCTTGGCCAATCGGTGGTGGCGCACGCCTTTAATCCCAGCCCTGGGGGTGGGGTGGGGTGGGCAGAGGCAGGCGGATCTCTGTGAGTTCCAGGCCAGCCTGGTCTACAGAGCGAGATCCAGGACAGCCAGGGCTACACAGAGAAACCCTGTCTCGAAAAACAAAACAAAACAAAAAAGTCATTTTGGATGAAAGTCAATGGAGGTAACCCTAATGGAAATTAAAGACAAGTGACGCTCCAAAAGGAGCATTAACGATAATCTTCCCAGGAGCTAGTTCTTAGGAAGCCAGTCTCCTGAAGCTCTGGTCACTCAATTCATAGCCAGCCTGGTGGTATCCTGTGCTCTTAGCTGTGCAAACGGACCCACCTCTTGGCTTGTACCTCAGAGTGGGATGGTAAGGGGAACAGACAGCAGGGGTTATGCTCTGGAGGAGGACTTGGAAGGATTTCTGTAACAACCTCATGCTTCAGACAACTGGACATAGCCTTTCCAGGAGGGAATACCTATGGCTGTGGGGAAAGGGGGTGTGCTTCCCCGGAAGTTCTGAAAGACAGAACTTAGGTGAGAGCCCAGTTCCATCCCCTTTTTCATGGACTGTCTTTGGGACAGCATCTGTGTTTTGTGTGAGCCTGGACCCCAAAACCAACACCTTGGCAGTGACGGGGGGTGAAGATGACAAAGCCTTTGTGTGGAGACTCAGCGATGGGGAGCTGCTCTTCGAGTGTGCAGGTGAGAGGCTGGGGAGGCTGGGTCCCTCTGGACAGCTGGGCAGGTGGCCTGTGTGAACACCCAGCAGCTGTTGACTAGCCTCTGTCTCAGGCTGGATCCAGGAACCCACACTGGAAGAATAAATTTTGCAGGCACTCGGACAGGAAGTGCTAATTGGCCAAAGGAGTGTGGCTAAGGTGGACACAGGAGGAGGTGGTACTGGTGTAGGAGTAGGCACAGAGAAGATTGGAGTCTGGCCTAGGAGACCTAGGCTTTGGGTGGTTGAATTGTGGGGTCAACAGTGCCTTCGTGGGAAACCTGGAGTTCCTGGTCCCTGGAGTGGCAGTGAGTTTGGTGACTCGTTCTGCTGAGGCCCTTCTACCTTTTTTTCTAGTTAATTGTTTTTAAAAGGTGGCCAGATACACGGGTCACATGTCCCCAGCATTGAGACACCTTTTAATGTTCTTTTTCTGCCACTTTTTTTTTTTTTTAAGGTTATATAGTTTGGGTTGGCCTTCGATTTACTATGTAGCCAAGGCTAGCCTTGAATTTGCTACATCTCTCAGGCAGATTTGAACTCAAAACCTGCCCACTTCTCTTTGCAGGCCATAAAGACTCTGTGACATGTGCTGGTTTCAGCCATGACTCCACCCTAGTGGCCACAGGAGACATGAGTGGTCTTTTGAAAGTATGGCAGGTCGACACCAAGGAAGAAGTCTGGTCCTTTGAAGCAGGAGACCTGGAGGTGAGATCCTTGGAGTGGTCCACAACTCTGTGGGACCTCAAGTAGGGATGAGCACTTCTGGGAGGGGGAGGGGCAGGCATAGCTATACTGGAGAGGCTGGCCTTGAACCACAGCACCCCAGCTCCAGCAATGTGTCTGTTCACCTGTAACGTTCTTGCCAGCCTTCGAAGCAGGGACACTTGGGTGGGGATCATGGACTCTTAGTTAGGCTGGGTAGCAGGCCTTGCTTGCTGATCTTGCTTGTTGATCCTTGCTCTCTGCCCAGTGGATGGAGTGGCACCCTCGGGCACCTGTCCTCTTGGCGGGCACAGCTGACGGTAACACTTGGATGTGGAAGGTACCCAATGGTGACTGTAAGACCTTCCAGGGCCCCAACTGCCCTGCAACCTGTGGCCGCGTCCTCCCTGACGGTGAGAGCAACCGCCTCTTCCCGGGGTACAGGTGGATCCGGTGACTTGGGCTACTCCAGTCATCCCAGCCTCCTCCTGCCCCATGCTGGATCTTACCAGTGACTCATTTCGGGGTCCCCTACTTGATTCTCCCTGCTCATTACTTGCTGGGTGTATCTGAGTGTACCCTCTGTCCTTTGGTCAATTGTGCCTTGGTCCTTAGGGAAGAGAGCTGTGGTAGGCTATGAAGATGGTACCATCAGGATTTGGGACCTCAAGCAGGGAAACCCCATCCATGTACTGAAAGGTATCAGAGGAGGGAGGGTGTCGACCTGGGCTTGGGGTAGCCTGAGAGCCAGTACAGGACTCAGAGTCTGTGTACCCCTGCTCTGTCCTAGGGACTGAGGGTCACCAGGGCCCCCTGACCTGTGTTGCCACCAACCAGGATGGCAGCCTGATCCTCACTGGCTCTGTGGACTGTCAGGCCAAGCTGATCAGCGCCACCACTGGCAAGGTAAGTAGCTTGGGCTTCTGTCTGTGCCTTCTGCCCCTCCCCTGTCCTTTTCCTCAGTTAAGGGGCCTGGAGCTCATTTCTATGACCCTCTTCTCTTACCTGTAGGTGGTGGGTGTGTTCAGACCTGAGACAGTGGCCTCCCAGCCCAGCCTGGGAGAGGGGGAGGAGAGCGAGTCGAACTCTGTGGAGTCTTTGGGCTTCTGCAGCGTGTGAGTGTGAGCAGAGCCTTGGCCTGCGAACCCAAGAGACGAGGGAGGAGGTGGCTTTGCGGAGGGATCCAGGCATTAGAACCACGGAGGAGGGAAGGTGCGTGGATCTAGAGCCTCAAGAGCCTTCTTTGTGTCTCCTGCTTCCCAGGATGCCTCTGGCCGCCGTTGGCTATCTGGATGGAACCTTGGCTATCTATGACCTGTCCACACAGACACTCCGGCACCAATGTCAGCACCAGGTATGATGTCTGGGGCTTTGTTCCTACTCGGTGGGCTGTTGTGCCCAGCTAAGGGGCAGCCTGTCCTCTGTGGCCCTGTGCCCGCCTCTCTCTGAAGGTGGGGACAGTGTCTTCTCTCCCTCCTGACTTTTGCCCTGCTCTGTCACTGTGTCACATTCCGGGACAGTCGGGCATTGTTCAGCTGCTGTGGGAGGCTGGCACTGCTGTGGTGTACACCTGTAGCCTGGACGGCATTGTTCGTCTCTGGGATGCCCGGACTGGCCGCCTGCTTACTGACTACCGGGGCCACACTGCTGAGATCCTGGACTTTGCCCTCAGCAAGTAAGCATCAGGGCTGGTCCCTCCTGAGAGTGGGTCTGGTGGGAGGTAGCACAGGTCCTTGGGGAATGGGAGGTGATTCCTAAGGGAGGTGAGACCCAGTGCCTGGTTGCATCCCGCGATGAAGGAATGCCAGACTACCTGTACAGTCACAGTCCTGGGATCCAGCCCTATCCCAGACTGGCAGTGAGCTACCCATTGTGAGGCAGGAGACTGGAATGAAGCTGTCCCCCTGGGCTCTGAATTGCTCCTATATTGGGGCTTCCTTCACTGATTCTCTCGCGGTCTTCACGGACGTGCTTGAGTCGGCTCCCTGGCTTGAGAACCAGGTGCAGACTCAGCTGGGGACCTCGAATAGAGGTGATGCTGGAGCAGCTGCCCTAAGACCTCTGGGGGGTGGGCTTGGACTAGGCCTCAGGTTCCTCAGTCCTTTCACCCATTTTCTGTCCACAGAGATGCCTCCCTGGTGGTGACAACGTCAGGAGACCACAAAGCG